GAATTCTAAACATTTGCAATATGGGACAAAGGGCTAATTTTCTAATTATACAAGAAGAGCTCTTTAAAATCAAATAAAGACCAGAAATCTGGTTAAAATGGATAAAGGGCATAAATAGGTAGTTTACTAAAATAAAGAATATGCATGTCCTATTAATACAATAATCTCACATATAGCACCTCATACATACCAAAATAAATGCAGATTAAGGAGGTACTATTTTTTGCTTATCAAACTGACATTTGTTGAAAATGTTTACACACAACATAGTGGCAAAAACATGGGCCAATTGACTTTCATGTTTTACTGATGGGAATGTAAATTGATGTGATTTCTTCAGAGGGTTATTTGAAACTGTATCCAAATCTACTCTTTGTGGATTCCACTTACAATTTATCCTGCGTATACTTGCATGTGTGTGCTTAAGAATGTTCTTTACAGCATTGTCTGTAATAATGAAAAGTCTGGAAACAGTGTATTGTACATCAATATGAAGTGATTAAATAAATTATGTTATAGCCACACAGTGGTATTCTAGCTAGCTATTAAAAGGCAAGATATAGATCCATGTGTTCTTATGTGGGATGAGTTTTCAGGATATATGTATTTTTAAATATATTTTTTAAATTTTAGAATGTTACAGGGTACAAACATTTTGGTTGCCTTAATTGCTTTTGTACCATTTGAGTCAAAGATATGTGTGTCCATCACTCCGATAGTGTGCATTGTACCTGATAGGTGTGAATTTAGCCATTCCCTCCTCCTCCTCCCACTTACTGGATTTCTGGTGAATGTTATTTCCATGTATGCACATAAATGTTGATCGATTAGTTCCAATTTAATGGTGAGTACATGTGGTGTTTGTTTTTCCATTCTTTGCTGAGAAGAATGTTCTCCAGTTCTGTCCAGGTTAATACAAGAGGTATTAGTTCACCCTACTTTTTTATGGATGAGTAGTACTCCATGGTATACATATACCATGTTTTATTAATCCACTCATGTATTGATGGGCACTTGGGTTGTTTCCACATCTTTGCAGTTGTGAATTGTGCTGCTACAAACATTCGAGTGCAGGTGTCTTTTTCATAGAATGTCTTTTTTTACTTTGGGTAAATACCCAGTAGTGGGATTGCTGGATCAAATGGTAGTTCTACTTTTAGTTCTTTGAGATATCTCCATACTACTTTTCATAGAGGTTGTACTAGTTTGCAGTCTCACCAGCAGTGTATGAGTGTTCATATCTCTCCACATCCATGCCAGCATTTGTTAGGATATATTGTTAATTGAATAAAGTTAAGATGTAGTACATGCATCTGGTAGTCTTGGGTTAAAAAGATTTACATGTGTTTATGTATTTAGACATACATGCATTGAGAAGTCTGGGAGAACCATTGAAAAACAATTAATGGTTGTTGACTCTCAGAAGAAGGTTTTTGGAGGAAGAAAACGTTTGTCTTATATTTTGTTTTTTTATTATATGCTTGGGTTACTTTTTCATTTTTAAAAAGATAAAATTAAAAAGTATCATTTTCCAGTAATTAATTTCTCTTGGCTTTTAACTGGCAAGAAAACATCAAAATGCTGACTTTTAAAAGAATTTCTCACATACTGAAGACTCATAATGCATTATTTCTGTACTTTGTAACTCCACAGAATGCCCCTGAGGGCTTTGTTGTTATTGTGTCATTTGTTCTCTAATGACCAAGTGTGGCTTGATACATTGAGCTGGACTTACATGCTGTTAATAGTATGTTATTAGACGTAAAAGTCAGAAATTGTAGAAATTTTCATTGTCATTTTTTCAACAAATATTTATTGAAAGCCTTCATTCACTGTGCAAATGTTATGGATACAGTAATGAGTAAACTATAATCTGATGGGTAAAGTTGGAGGTGGGGCAAATGTTGCAGTCCCTGTTGGAGTCCAGTAAATTAACCAATTTTAATACAAACATAAACATGAGCAAGAAAGAATAAACATCAAATTTATAGTGAAGCTTGGATAGGAGAATGCTGAAATTGTTGAAGGTTTATGAAAAGTTTAGGAGGATAATGTCCCAAAGAAAGCAGTTTACAAATGGATAACTCATTTTAAGAAGGGATGAGAGGATGTTGAAGATGAAGCCCTCAGCGGCAGACCATGCACATCAATTTGTGAGGAAAAAATTAATTTTATTTGTGCCCTAATTGAGGAGGA